CGCTCCTCATCTAGTGCCATCATAAGTGCCTGGTCGGCCGCCTTGGCTCTAGGCGCCTCTTCTGCCGCGGCTTCCATCACGTTGACCGCCCCGGAACACTTCCGCTTTCGTCCCGCTTTTTTCGCATAACGCGGGGCGCCCCGTCCCCGGGCTACGCCTACCCCTTGTGACGCAATGAATTTCAACGTTTGATGGCAAGTGGAGGCTACACCATTAAACAAGGCTAGGAGAGGTCTTCCCAGAATCGCGTTGTATGGTGACGGGCAGTCCACTATTCCAAAATCGATGGCACGCGTCACCCTTTGTTCCCCATCGCCCAAGGTAACCGGTAGACGCACTCGCCCTATTACTCTGGCGGGTGCCCCCGAAAAGCCAACCAACACCGACTCGGATGGTCTGATGAGTTCTGGCGATAGTTGCATGCGAACCACTGTATCCTTGAATAATACGTCCATCGAACTTCCCGTGTCCACGAGCATCCTCCTGACTTGGCACCCTGCCACCACTCCTTGTATTTCTAGGGCGTCCATGGATGGGAGCATGCACGCTTCCTCGGGCGCCCTATTGAAGCTGATATCTATTGCTTCCTGCACGTCTGCCGACGCTGCTCTCAAGCGGCGGTTTGCTTCTATTTTCTCCCTCAAGTCCACCGTCCCTGAGATAGCTTCGATAGTCAGGCGCACCCGTTCGGGCGCGTTCTCTTGGTCGAGGTCGTACGGTGGAGGTGGAAGCTCCTCTTTTGCTCTTTCCACGCCGGCCACACAGGCCCGGTGCACTCTTTCTTCGGGCTTCTTGACGAAATCACTAAGCATCCCCCTGTCAGCCAGCCCTTGCAACTCAGTCTTCAATTGATAACAGTCTGATGTATGGTGTCCCACCTCTCGGTGGAAGTCACAATATCGATCCAGGTTCCGCTCGTTGGGCTGTCCTCTCATGGGGCCCGACCACCTGATATGATACCCCTTCTCCTTAACATGTTGGAGTATATTTTTCAGCGTATCCGTGTATTCAGCAAAGGGTCTCGCTCCCCTGGGCGCCGGGCGTCCGGCGTCCATTCTTCTGGGTGGGGGAGGATTCGCGGGCGCATACCCCGAACCGCTCGGAAAGTGCGGCCTCCTCGCCATCTCCACCTCTTCTTCCTTCGTCTTTCGTCTGTCGGCCCTCCTGGTCGCCAAAGTTTCTTCGAGCATGATTACCTTCTGCACTCTGTGATCCAGATCTTCAGTGCACACAACGTCTCTTTTTGCCAGCGATCTGCACAACTCCTCACTGGTGGTACACTCGTTCAGACATACCCCCAGTACCGACGGCTGCGCGTCTTTTACCGCCAAGGCCACAGATAGCCACCTCTCATAAAACACTCAATGCGCCCTTCTTCAATCTGATAATACCAATCAAGGACCACGCCCGCGAAAGTTGACGGGAACACTTTGCACAGTGTGGCGTCTGTACTGTTGTACAGCTGCATTTTGGTGAAGTAACCGTTGAGGTGGTCCTCCGGATCAGCGGTCCCATCATAGGTGGGGAGCGGGGGAATATTGGTCCCAACAGGCTCCATTAGTATGTTACGCGCCAAAGGCTGCTTCACAGGCCCATGACGAGACAGGCGTCCCAAGATTCCTCCGTTCCATCCTCCCATTTCTGGCCCCTCGTACTCTCGCGGGCGCCACAAACTGGGGCGCTTCTGATATCCCGACTCACTTTCTGTCTCCGCCACCCTTTCTCTTTTTTTTTTGTTGGGCTGGGCGTCATCCCGCCACCCCTCTTCAGAGCGTCGACCTCTTTTCGAAGCGCCTCAATCGCTCCGTCTTGGTTTTCGATGATTCTGAACAGTTCTCTCTTCGTCATCGAGGCGCCTTCCGATCCCCAAAACATGTCGTCACTCTCCTCTCCTTCCTCCATCTCGGGCGCCAGCCCCCTTAATCGTTCCGATTGGTCCTCCGTGACTTCCTCCCTTTCCATTTCATCGTTCAACGCCGCCTCCTCACTCATGATTTCTGGTTATATTCCCCTATCTGGCACGCCAATTGTTTGAGCCACAGTCCACGCCGGTATAGCAAGAACCTCCCTTCTCCTGGCGCCTGCCTGCACCCACAAAGAGGAGGGCGCCTTGGCCCGTTAATCCTCCGACTCCCAAGTTAGTTCCTTCAGAGAGAGAAATGTTCTCAAGTAGTAATTTGGTGAGAGAATCCAACCTGCGTAAATGCTACCGACTGCCCCTATTTATACTCACCAAACTCGAGGTTGATCTCCTCCACGTCATTGTGCCCATTTAATGCTTTGTACTCTTTTTGTCAGACATCCCAACCACCTTGTCAGGCTTCTGACGCGTGACAGGCGCCCACATGTGATGGACCACAAGACAGCTTGGACTCCTTTGGCCTTTAGCGTTTTGTCCTTATGCGCCCTTCCTCTTATTTGGGCCTTGAGCTATTTCTCAAGTCCCTTTTTTGGCCTTGCCCCCCAATTCCATTATCTGGGGGCCCAAACCCCTACTTGCTGGGTAGTACCCCCAACAATAAATATGCTTTCCCGGCGAGAAAACTTGTATGAACAGAATTAAATTCACCTTGATGATCTATGAGACAAAGTTAAAATAAATTAAATCTACTCTTATGAAGGTTCAGTAAGAGCTCTGAAACTACAATTATGGCTATGACTAAATTTGCAAAGGAAAAGGTAAAGATAAAGATATAGAAGAGTATACCATAGTGGATGAAGTGTATCATGGATTACATCTTAGTGTAGAATAGCCGTATGCAAGATAGTAGGAATATAATAACCTCCATCTACCACCTTTCATCACCGTCTACCACCATTTAGCATCATATACCATGGTATGATGATATATTTAATTTGAATATCTCTTAGAAATATATCAATTTTTTTAGAAACATAGGGTTCATATTTTAATCTCTCGATGAAAGAAAAATAATTCAAAAAGGGTTAATACCCTATTTTGGCCCGAAGTTTGACGTAAGTGTAAGTTTTGGCCCCAATTTTCCATTAAGACAACTATGGCCAACTTTTCAAATTAATTGACAGATTTGGCCCAATTTTTTTTTTTAGCGTTATTGTCGACGGTCAAACATCCATCAATTACTGACTCATAATGATTTGCTCTATTGTTTGATGTTGGGTGTGAATGTTAGTGTGCTTGACTAATGTTTTGCACCTCCGTGAACTAATGTTTGTTTGACTCACAGGTGTAGTATGTCACAAGTATCGAAGATAGTGAAAATAAGCGTTGTGCTTTATGATCCCTGAGAACGATAGTTTAAAGTGATACCACTTGATTGCAAAACGTTAATAATGTCATTGAAATTCATTGTAAAATGCCATTATTGGCTAGTTATGAACATGATGTGAAAATGCAAATTGTTAATATTTTTTTTCTTCGTAAATCAACGATAGTGTTATTCAAATTGTTAATGACGACATGACATAACTTTAATAAATCATTCTTAAGCATTAACGAGGAAAATATAAATCATTAGCAAAACGCTAATAATGCACTGCAAGTCACCATAGAGAGTGGTCATTTTGAAATTTAAAATATTAGTTTCAAACTTATTAATTATTATTTAATTGTATTAATTCGAATTCCTTTTAATTAAATTAAATATTTGTATATAATACTTTTATTGTCTTTTTAGGTTGTTAGACTCCACTATTTTCTCCTGTTCTAATTGGCCAACAAAAAATTAAGAAACTCTTTAAGGGGTCGTTTGGTTTTGGTGATACTTTGGTTGAGATAGTTACAATGCATTATTTTTCTGAATTTTCTGCGCAAACATTACATGCATTGTTTGCTTGATGTGATACAAACTATCAGTCAAAATGAGTGATAGTTAAATCTCCAGCCCTTTCAATCGGTGTTGTTTCCACTGATTTCTTCCTTGATCCTTGATCAGTTTTTTTCATGTATTCTCTTTGTCTGTTCTTCTGTTACTTTCTTTTGAGGCGCACACCTTGTGCTGGCCTTTGTTGTTTTTTTTAGACTTTGGGTTTTCTCTAATAAATTCACCATTATAAAAAAAATCTCTAGTTTTTTGTGATATTGTTGACATTGTGGTTGTTTGGTTTTTTCTTTCTTCCAACTATGTCTCTAACTTTTTATTTGTGTTGCTTTTTTATATTAAAAATGAAGAATAAAAGTGACATTTCACCCAAAAAATCATATAGCTTATTTAAATACTACAAGAACTATCACATAAACCAAATAAGGAGATGAACTTCATCTCTTTATTGTGGCAAAACATGGTGATTGTTACGAGGTATAGCCTATGTGGATCGCCAATCTCCTCCCGAAGGATTCTGTAATCTAAAATCTGATAAGGTTTGACGTGACGGGTCTTCTTGGCATCATGGCTACGGTTAACATAAATGGTCAAGACTCAAGAGACCATTTCGTACAAAAAGAAACATTCTAAGTGTTCATTATGTTTTATTTTTGAATGATGATTTAAATTTTTGACTTGAATCCTAGAGAGTTGTCTCTTAAGTTCCGTCGGTTGCCATCTGCCTTAACATCTATAGATGTGTTGATTTTGGACTTTTGGTGGTAAGAAGCAATGCTATAGGATAATATTTGAATCTCTTTAAATAAATCGAGTTATTGAAATGTATATATTTTATCATTTTTGTAAGATATGACACTCTGAGTTTAGTAATTTTTTATCTTTGTAAAATATAAGATAAATACAAACTATTTTCTTCGGATTTATCAAAAATAGATTTCAACGGAAAATTAAAGTAACAAATCGACGATGGAAAAGGCGAGAGATAAATTTGTGGATACCTTATTGGCCTTTCATAGAATCAGTTTTTGGGACTGTTAAGAGGTTAGGCTATTATTAGGAAAATAGAGAAATAGTTTTTACCGTAAACAAAAAAGTGGGTAGAAGCATGAGGTCGAGAGGTTACATCGGAGGGTGAAGATTATAGCAATATAGACCATTTAAGTAGTATAAAAGAGAACGAGAAAGAAGAAAAAGATGAAACATCAATCATAGGAAGAAGAAGAGTTCTTCTTCTTCTCCCTATCAAAATAAATATATTTAGGAAATTTGTATACATAATAGTTATAATATAATAAAAAAAATTCTTTCATATTGAAGGGTTAGTATACTCGGCACATAAGGGGGAGGAAGAAAGTAAAAAAAAAAAAAAGGAATGGGGAGGAGGTTGATGATTTGTATGATGCTTGGCCTCTTGGCTACAGAGGCAATCGTGAGTGTACAAGGTGAAGATCCATACCTATTCTTCACGTGGAACGTCACATACGGGACTCGTTCTCCACTAGGTCTTCCTCAACAAGTTATTTTAATCAACGACCAATTCCCAGGCCCCAAAATCAACTCCACCTCTAACAACAATATAGTGGTCAACGTGTTCAATAACCTGGATGAGCCATTCCTCATTACGTGGAGCGGGGTTCAACAGCGGAAGAACTCGTGGGAAGATGGTGTCCTCGGCACCAATTGCCCCATCGCTCCCGGGACCAACTTCACCTATCACTTCCAGGTATATTTAATACGTGAAAGACCTCTAGCCACCTAGTTTGCATAGGTCACACACATGATGTCCTCATTGTATATATTCCCCATTATACATAGACATATATTCATATGGCTCCTGCATGTAGGTCAAGGACCAGATCGGCAGCTTCCTTTACTATCCATCGACTGCGGTTCACAGGGCAGTTGGTGGCTTCGGTGGCATTGGAATTAACAGTCGCCTTCTAATCCCGGTCCCTTACCCAGATCCAGAGGACGACTACACTGTCATCATCAACGATTGGTACCCTAAGAGCCACGCTACCCTAAAAAACTTCCTTGACAGCGGGCGCTCACTGGGGAAGCCCGAAGGAGTCCTGATCAACGGCCAAAATGCCAAAGGCGATGGCCATGACGAGCCGCTCTTCACCATGATGCCAGGGAAAACATACAAGTACCGTATCTGCAACGTTGGGATGAAGACCACCCTCAACTTTAGGATCCAAGGCCACTCCATGAAATTGGTCGAGATGGAAGGCTCCCACGTGCTTCAGAATTACTACCAGTCCTTGGACGTACATCTGGGGCAGTGCATGGCCGTGCTCGTGAAGGCGGACCAGTCAGTGAAGGACTATTACATGGTGGCCTCCACCAGGTTCACCAAGGGCTACCTCCGATTGGGAAAGGGAATCATCCGCTACCAAGGTAGCAATGGTGTTGTTCCATCCGCCCAAATCCCGGACGCCCCAGTAGGATGGGCGTGGTCTCTCAACCAATTCCGTTCCTTTAGGTGGAATCTCACAGCCAGTGCTGCTAGGCCCAACCCTCAGGGGTCTTATCACTACGGCCAGATTGAGATCACACGAACCATCAAGCTTGTCAACTCGGCCGTTAGGGTAGGCGGAAAGCTACGCTACGCCATCAACGGGGTGTCCCACGTGGACGGGTCCACTCCTTTGAAGCTAGCTGAGTACTTTGGGATAGCGGATAAGGTGTTTAAGTATGACACAATTCAGGACATGCCAGCTGCTGGAGTTGATGCCCATATTGTGATGCAGCCCAATGTGCTCAACATGACCTTCAGGAACTTCGTGGAGATTGTATTTGAGAATCACGAGAAGAGCATTCAATCGTGGCACTTGGACGGCTACGCCTTCTTCATAGTTGGGTACGTACGTACTTTGAGTATTGTCTTTATTTATTTATGAATATAAAAGTATATGGATGATGATCATTGACACTCATGTATGTGGGCCGGGTGTGTAGTTCTGAACCTGGGACTTGGACACCAGAGAAGAGGAAGAACTACAACTTGCTGGACGCGGTAAGCAGGACGACGTTGCAGGTGTACCCAAAATCATGGACGACGATAATGCTAACATTTGACAATGCTGGAATGTGGAACATTCGTTCGGAGATGTGGGAAAGGACATACCTCGGACAACAAATGTATGTCAGCGTCCTCTCTCCGGAACGATCACTTAGGGACGAGTACAATATGCCCGATTCTGCCTTGCTCTGCGGTCTCGTCAAAGGCTTGCCCAAGCCTGCTCCTTACACTGGTGCCTAGCTAGCTAATCAATTACACGTATCTAACTCATGTAACCAACTCCTCAATCCTTCTAAATATGTAAATCGATCCATTCCATTCCGGCCCCAAACACCAACATTAATACATACGATACATGCAAGGCAATGGTACGTACCACCTGGAAGAATTCCCAGAATACAGTAAAAATTATACATAATTCCCAGAATACATAAGTTTTATAAAATTTTCCCAAACTACCCAAGTTTCAAAGAGTTCGAGTTTATGAAACTCGAACTACGAACAAGATCGACGATGACAAACTCGAACAAAGTAGATCGATGACAAACGACTCGATCCATGTAGATCGATGACAATAAACTCGATTTAGTAGATCGAGTATAGAAAACTCGATTTAAGTAGATCGACGCCGGGAAGCTCGATGCATTGCAACGATTAGAAAACACTCGATCTCTATCTGCACTAGATCGAGTCCCTAAGACTCGAACAAGGTAAATCGATTACAATAGACTCGAACCACTGGCCCACCGACATGCTTCAGATAGGGTTGCAGGGATAAGATTCTTTGTTATAGTAGATCGAGTTTTAGGACCTCGAACTAGGGTAGTTCGATTGCACTAAACTCGAACTACTTGCTCAATAATTCTGTCCAGTCGCTTTCGGCCCGACATGTTCCAGAATAGGGTGCAGGGGGGGAAATTATTGGATGGGGTAGATCGAGTTTAATAAACTCGAACTAGTGTAGATCGAGTGTTTTAGACTCGAACCACTGCATCAGTTTACGATGATAAAAAGCCCTCACTTAGCACATTCTGGCAGCTCTTTTACTTTCTATCTTCTTTCTTCCAAACACAAACTGCAGCAGCTGGAGCACCATAGCTCACCAAAGAAGAAAATTTTTGGAGGTAAGTTCTGCTTACGTTTTTTGAATGAGCGTATTAGAATTTTAGATTAATTTAGAATTGTTTGTACTGTATGTAATGAGCTGCTTCTATAAACTGCAGAAATGGGTAGAAAGTTTCGAAAATTCGACTTATTGATTCGGTGGAATGGTCGAATTACCCATTTTCATGATAGTATTGACTACGAAGATGGTGAATCAAGTACTGTCCCGATTAAGAGCATATTTACTTGGCAAGAACTCAGCCATATTTGTGCGGAACGATGTTGCATAGGAGGGAGAAGAGTATGCAAGATGACTTACCGTATGCCGGTTTACAAGGATTATGCACTTGTATATGAAGGATCAGTTTTGTCTGACGATGATGATGTTAATATGATGATGAGATTTATTGCAGAGAACAGATTTACAACTGCTGAGGTGTATGTCGAGACAGAAGTTGTTGGCCAATATGGTGGGGGTGGTTATACCGAACAAGGTGAAGGATCGGGAGGTTTTTCCGGTTCAGGAGATTTCAGAGTGCAGCATGATGCACCATGGCCAACATACGAGGATCGAGCTGCAACTGGTCCATTGGTGGAACATGACGGACAGGAGTGGCCAGTATGGGGTGGAGAATGGGATTACATAAGGGCACCCAGACAAGCATCTACAGCAGCATCTGGCATCAACAATGATCCATATGTGGATAAACCAAGTCCTCCGTACACTAGCGAGGCAAGCGACGTGGAAGACGAAGAGTTAGAATCAATGAGTAGTTCAGATGGTGAAGATCTGGAAGTTGACGAGGGGGAATTTGAGCCCCCCACACCTCACTACACGATGGTGCCACAACATCCTCTCTATGCTCACAACGACGATCCTGACCTCCCTCCTATACCAATCTGGACTCCTGACTCTGGATTCGTGGTTGGCCAAACATTTGCAGGAAAGCCACAGGTGGTCGATGCATTGAAAGAAACTGCTATGCGAAGAAGCTTTCAATATCGTGTCATCACTTCTGACACTCGTGTCACTCAACGGAAGGACATTGCCATACTTTCTGATCGACACCATGGAATTAGACATGCTTTCTACGACCTGCCCGAGGAGCTAGGGTGGAAGTGGCGATGGTGCATACGACATTTCAAAAGCAATTACGGGAAGCACTTTGGTAGAACTTATGGACAACGTGCAGTTTGGCACGCTGGTAAGAACAAATAAGATGTTGTGATTATATCAATTGGTTGAATGTGTATACTCCTTTACTAACCTTATTTTGCTTTATTGTAGCTATTGCTTTTCAGACTCGAAAGTTTGTAGACAAAATGAAGAGCATAAGGGAGGTCCACTCTGAAGGTGCAGATTGGCTAGAAACTCATCCTTATGAGAGGTGGACGTTACATCAAGACGAAGGGTATAGGTATGGAATAACAACAACGAACATGGGTGAGTGCCTCAATGGTTTGTATGTTGGTCTTCGTGCAATGCCTATCTCATCTATAGTCTTGCATACCTTCTTTCGTACGGTGACATGGTTCGTTGAACGCTACCAAGCAGCATATCAGATGTTGAATGCTGGAACCTACATCCCAACGAAGATTACGGATGATATGAAACCATGGTCAGAAAGGGCAAAATGGCATAAGGTGACTTTATTTAGTCGAAGAGATTCCCGCTTTTCAGTAGTAACAGGAAGTGGACCAGATAGTTCAAAGGGTGGTAATGCTCAAACAGTTATACTAGATGCAAAGAATGGAACTGGAGAATGTACTTGTGGGAAGTTTCAAGGGAGACACCTGCCTTGCTCTCATGCATATGCAGCTGCGAGAAGCGTTAATTTGGATCCTTTGATATTTGTTAGTCCATACTACAAGACTCCATACGTGGTCAGAGTTTGGGAAGGGTCGTTCTTTCCCTTGGCTCATGAAGCATATTGGCCCCAGTATGATGGACCTGTAGTGTGCCCTCCCGAGCACATGAAGCGTACTAGAGGTCGACCTAGAGTTAACCGAATTGCAAATGAAATGGATAGATCAAGGACACAGCGACGCCGCCCGAAGAAGTGCTCTGCATGTCGAGTTGAAGGGCATGATAGGCGCCAGTGTCCAGGGCCATCGACCGAGGATTGAAACTTTATGTTGTAATTTGAATTTTATGGTGTGATTTATATGTTGTAATTTGAATTTTATGGTGTGATTTAAGGACTTTATGTTGTAATTTGAATTTTATGGTGTGATTTATATGTTGTAATTTGAATTTTATGGTGTGATTTAAGAACTTAACAATGCATGAGAAATAGAACAAATTAACACCCTCATTAGAAATAGAACACCTAAACAACTCCAAAGAAATAGAACAACGGAACAACGTCATTAGAAATAGAACAACTTAACAACTCTAAAGAAATAGAACTACTAAACAACTCTAAAGAAATAGAACTACTAAACAACGTCATTAGAAATAAAAACAGCTTAACAACTCTAAAGAAATAGAACAACTTAACAACTCTAAAGAACACCTCACTCTTGTTCACCACGTCCGCGTCCCTCCCTTCGACGTCTATTCCTTGAACGAACTCCATATCCAATTCCAGTATTTCGTGGCAATGGAGGTGGGGTTGCAGTGGGTGGAGGACCATAATAAACATTTGGAATGGGAGTCTGGAAGCTTTGATGCGGGGTTTGATGCGGGGTTTGAAATTGATGACCATACGATGAATAGTAGGCTCCTCCTCCCCCTCCTTGAGCAGAACCTGATGATCCCTCTCCGAATTCCCTTCTGGCGGGAGGGAATCCATACTCGTATGGGTGGGGAAGTGCAACATCTTCTCGTACATGCACAGGGACGTTAACTGGCTCTTGCCGACGTTTACTCCTCCTTGGTGGTGATGGCGGGAGAGATTCAATTTCAATGGCGTGGGAGGAAGGACGTGGCGGTGCAGGAGCAGGAGGATATGCAATGACATCCCTTCAAGAATGAAATTTTCTCCCCTGGCACAGCATCTTCTGGTTCATTCTCCAACGTCATTGATGCAAGTTCCAACCCATCAACCTTAATAATAAACATGTTAGTAAACACTATTTGTGTAGCTAAAGTGATTATAGTAAATAGATATTGTGCTTACCAATGAACCGATCACGGCGCCACGTTTGGTTACCCATCTTTTTGTGAACTTGCGGTACCAAACCATGTATTCATCTTGGTACCCCATTGGCCTCGTCATTGCCTCCCCATCAATTGCATACGTCTGACGAGACTCCCACATTTCGATCCATCTATGGTGCTTGGTTGGCCAATCACTTATTGAACCCCGCAGATCCTTGCTGTACTTGTGGAGTGACTTATGTACGTCCGGGAGTGGGAGAGGAATCGGTTGCGCCCAATTATATTGTCGAACACATCTATCCGGGAGGTGCCACTCGACAATGTTGTGGCAAATCACAGGCAACTTGCACGACCAGAGTCGGCGATCCTCAGGGTATCGCAACTCGTACAAATCCTTTGCTCCGTTCGGATACGGATCCCACTCCACCTAAGTTTCAACACAACAAATAAATTAAAATCGAAGCAAATAATTTCAACAAATAAAATAGGATTCATAATCATAAAAATAAATAATGGGCTAAGATAAATAATTCAACAAATAAAATAGGATTCATAATCATAAAAATAAATAATGGGCTAAGACAAATAATTTCAACAAATAAAATAGTGGTCATAATCATAAAAATAAATAATGGGCTAAGACAAATAATTTCAACAAATAAAATAGAATTCATAATCATAACAATAAATAATGGGCTAAGACAAATAATTTCAACAAATAAAATAGAACTCGTAATCATAAAAATAAATCATAGGCTAAGACTAAGACAAATAACATCAACAAATAAATTATAAATAAATAATCATAAGGTAGAAGGTTACCTCGTTGAATTCTAGACGGTCAAGATGTTGGCGGTACCCGTCTAGAGAGGTGCCACTCGTGATAGCTCCAATCCATCTAGCACCATAAGCCCATTGTCGTAGTGGCTCATCGGGACCCCAGCTGTTGGCAGGGCAGATCGGAGCGAAAGTAGGAAGGTGCTCCCAAACCCATAGTTGGAGGATGAACATGGGACCACCCGCTTGCTTTGTTTTCGGATCCGTACACTTGCACAACTCCGAATATATCATGGCCAAACAAGCAGATCCCCAACTTTTTCTCCCAATCTCGTCCCAATCTCCCAAAAGAACTCGAAGCCACATACAATGCATATTTCCACCAGACTTGTTCGGAAACAAAAATCCTCCAACCAAACAAATAAGGTAGATGCGAGCATACCTCTCTATCTGAGCATCCGTGGCATCCTCCGGTAATTCCCCAACGGTCCTCACTAGCCAAGGTATCAATAACATAGACTTGTGTAGAGGTGGTACACGACGACCTTCTTCTGCTTCCTCGGGGATGTTGATACCTAAACGCTCGCTTATAAATTGGCCCCAACCATTCAATGGTTTCTGTGAACTTTCAATTATTGCATCACCATCGATTGGAAGCTCTGTCAGCATGGCTACGTCCTTCAACGTAATCGTCATCTCTCCCTCTAGAAGGTGGAATGTGTGCGTTTCTTTTCTCCATCTTTCCACCATTGCCGTAAGAAGGTTGTTGTCCATCTCCATCCCCACAAACTTTCGCACCCTCAGCAATCGCGCTCTTTCAATGAAGGGCTCGATACGATCATCCCATTTAGGCAAGCGAGATAGCGACCGATGGGTGATTACGTCAAGTTGTTCCTGTAGAAAAAAAAAATATTAATTATTATACAAAAAAAAAATTAGAACAATACTATCACATTTAAAAAAAGAAAAGTAAATGAGGAAGTGCTTACCGGATCTGCCGCCCAAACACTTTCAGACCGATGGTAAGCTTGCTCATCCAACAAATCGGTTTCTCGCGGTCCGCCTTGAATGTATAATCTAGGATCGTAAATACTCGGATCCATCTCGGCAATTTTGAGTGATAGAAGTACCAAACTAAAGAAAAAAAATCTGATGCGGAAGATCGGGCTTAGCCGCAACCACAGAGCATATTTTTTTCTTCAAGAGTGGTGGGAGGAATAGGAAGAAGAATGGAGTGGTGTGGGATTTGGTGGAATGGGGGGGGAATATATAGGTGCAGGTGGTTGATGTGGATCGAGTACAGAGGACTCGAACCAGTGCCTCGATTTACCTGCCATCGATCCGCGTCGATTGCAGATCGAGTGAACAAACAACGAACGACCCAGATCGAGTCTGGCAAACTCGATCTACGGTGGAGCGGTCCTGACGTCATCGATCCGCGTCAATTGGATCGATTCAATGGAGCTCGATCCACGTGCATCGCGTTTTCGCCACTCGATCCGCGTCGCCACTAAATCGCGGGTTTGGCCATCGAACGGTGTGGTTCGATTCTTCTTACCTCGATCTACGGTGGAGCGCTGCTTATGTCAGCGATCCATGTCAACTAGTTCGAGTGTAGCGTACTCGATCCACCTAAATCGAGTTTATTACACTCGATCCGCGTCGTCCTGTTCCAGCCAATCGTGGCTGCTTCACTCGATGCACATGGATCGATTCTTTTACAGTCGATCTATTCACTAGTTCGAGTTTGCCAAACTCGAACCGGTTCAAACTTTGGTATTTTGGGAAATATTTATAAAAGTTATGTATTGTGGGAATTACTTTTAATTTTCACTGTATTTAGGGAAATAATCCCTACCACCTCGTGTATGTATGTGTGCCTTGTATATTAACCCTTCCAAGCTTAATTATTATATAATAATAAGATAACATGTTACATATATATACTCACGTGCCTTTCTCTGCAAAATGAGATCAGGTGCCAAAGCCACAAAATTTTGTGAACTTACAAAATCAGGTTGTATCGTTAAATGTGTATTATTCACTACTAAAAAAAAAGCAGGGGTGGAGCTACCTGACTCCTAAGAATCTTGAAGCTGCTTTTAAATAGTTCGGGATAATTTTTTTTTTTTGGTGAAAAAATAGATTAGTTCGGGATAATTTATATAAACTAGGGTTTTTTTTTTTCAAATTCAGTAGTTGAAACGAAAGTCACAGAGAGGCAGAAAGAAAAGCGCGAGAGTCTACCAACAGTCGAACTCTCGATGAGAGGGCCTTTTATGCCACATGATGGGCAGCCCTAATGAGTTAGCGAGAAACAAAACACTAAGAAACTCGAAGCTAAGCTCCTAGCATCCTCCAAAATAGCTCCATCCCGATCATGATGTAAATCACCTCCAACTATCCGCCGAATCAAGAGTTGAGAGTCCCCATGAAAATTAACACAAGAAAGGAATGATTTAGACACCACTGTAAGGCATCACATAAAGCTAAA